TAATAATAAAGTGGGCGGTGCCAAGAGACACTGGGTGCGTTTCCATTGACCATGAAAATGCGCAAATTAGAATTTCGAAAAAAATTTGCTCAATGGAAACACGTCAATTTAGAAAAAAAATACATTTTTCGACAAAATGGTTTTGCGCTAGGATGAGGTGGTTTTTTTAGCCATATCGAAATTGATGTATTTCGCAAAACTGTAATGGAAACACTTTTTTCGCATCACGGGAGTCACGTGATCAAAAACCGTCTGTTTCTACTGGCGAAAAGACGACGAAGAAGAAGACAACAGGAAGTAAAAGTAGTAGTAAAATCACTGAAGTAGTAAAAGAAAGTATTAAACTCACCGACTACATTTTTCCAAAAATGCAGTATACGTAGCCACTCCCAGGTATTAGGGGATTGTCACTCGAAAGCCTCGATAAGACGCCGACCTCTCCTCTGATGGCTGATGATGAGCGCTAGTGTCGGGGTAGCAATGTGCTATGCGTTTACATCCATTGCCTCATGTTTGTAATGACTTATTGCGAGAATAAACATGTTCACGCGTGATTTTTATCGCATTTTTTACTTAATGGAAACACTGCAATTGCGAAACTGTGTTTTTCGACATTAACAGAATATCGACAAAGTTTTGCGCACATTTGCAATGGAAACGCAGCTACTGAGGGGCGCGGCCAATTGTGGGGATGAGTGAGGAGGTGTGGTCAAGACGAGTGAACGTGACCGCTAGCTTAATTTGGCAAGCTAAGATTTCTGAAAACATTTCTGAATGTTATAAAAAATGTAATATTTTTCGTAAAACATATAACATAAGCAAACTCACATTTAGCTGTTTCAAACTAACACAAAATTCAGGCAATAAACTGCATAAAATTTGACTTTGGTTCAAAACAACACAGGAAGAATATTTTCTCATATCAGTTTGTTTCACTGGTTCATTAGAAATTCACAAGACAGCTCAGTCCGGGACGTAGCATCATTGCTAACATGGGCTAATGTTCAAAGCGGAAACAAACTTTCATCGCAGTGCTCGCTGTTCCAACTCCCGACTTGCTGCAGGGGCGTATCTCTAAGTGAGGGGCTTTTATACCTGAAAGCAGGAAGCTGAGACGTGGACATGAACCAAACTGTACTGTTGTAACCAATGGGAAAATTCAACTGCAGTAGCCACAGTTCAACCCATAGAGGGCGGCACTGAGATAGTCTCAGGTCAAATATTGCAGAATTAAACAGATATACAAGGTTTGCTCAGAAATATAAAGATAATACCCTTTAAGGCCCAATTTACACATTTTATCTGCGAGACAATGTTGATTTGAGGTTCAGTTACTCTTTAAAAAGAATAATAAGTCTAGTAAACCTAGTAAACTAAAGTTGGCTATGTTAGAAGTCATTAAAAACTTGACAAAAAGAAACAGATTTGAATTCATGATGTTAGGCTGCGACACTCGAAGCATCACTGTATGATTTAAAATGAACAAAACTATCCTCTAAGCATATTTGCTCCTCCGCTGTGGAGTGCTGAACCCAGTGAGGGGATATCCATCAAATATTGGTTCAATTTCTATATTCTGCTGAGGAACTGAGAGCTTTTTAAATGGAACTGTCTGTTTCTGCAGCTAAAATATGAAGACCTATAGCTCTGCAGACACACACTTTAGTTTCCAGTGTAATGCTGAAAGCTTACAGCAGCACTGCTTCTTAATGAATATCGATATCGTAGCAGACTGTAGGCTGCTGCTGCCACACAATCAATAATTCACCAACCACCATCAGAACTGTGAAACCGAAGACCTTTATTGTTTATCTCCTTTTATGCACTTAAATGCCTTTAATATGATTATTCTTCCTACAGTATATGTGTTTATCTCCTTATGAGAGTCAGTTATTCAACCTCTCCTCCAGTTTTCTCATTTTGTTTCCTCATTTTGTTTCCTCGCTTGCACTAAGATCCAATTCACAAACGAGCCAGACATTAAGAATGCACACAAACACAGATCCCTGAGTCATGTGAAGGACTCCTTTCTTAAAAGGGTTTTACATACACAGATTTAAAAGCAGCTCATGAAAACAAACACGTTAGTCAGACAGAGAGCAAACAGTCAGCAAACTTCTCAGCATCAGTCAGACGGAGAGGAAAGATACGAAACTACCACGGCACTCTAACTTCCACTTGATGAGCTATTTTAGCTCCGCTTCGGTGAAAATTAACTGGCAGAAACTTCAAAGTTGGAGCAGAAAGCAAGCAAGGGCCTACAGTTGCATCACACTAAACTCGAAAATTCATTTTTCAGCAAACGAAGTTAAGAATTTTGTTAATTAATCTATAAATATTGCAGTTTCTGGAGAACTGATTTTACTAGAAAGCACAGATTCACACTATCTAAAGTCACAAATATAATTAATATTAATAAGACAGTAAGTTTTTAACAATCAAGAGAAATTCAAACAGTAAATTCCTCCTGCAGATACATTACTGAGGATCTGGCACTAATTTGCTCAGTCCTCTCAGACTCCACCTCATTAGGAATGTGCGATATGGCAAAAAATTCATATCACAATATACATTATGATGAGTGGCGGTAACGATATATAGCACGATATAAAACTTATAATAGAAAATAAATGAATCACACATTGAGTGGAATAAATATGTATAGGTAAAAAAATTTAGACCTTAAAATCTCATTTTTAAGGGACACTTTAAAGTCTCCCATAAAAATCTAAATTTAAGGGAGATCTACCTGGTTAAATCATGTATATCCAGCCGGTTACATCATCAAAAAGAATTGCACTGTTGGCCGGTAGACTACAGATCTCTATCATAGGACAAATTTACATCGTTTCTACCGTATATCGTTTATATCGCGCATTCCTACACCTCATCAATTAATAAAAGTGTAAAAAAAATAAACAGTGCTAGAACTCCTGAGCATCTCTCCTGGCTGCCTTCGAGGCATCCAACTGGTAACCGTGCCGAGGGAATGCACGGTGCTGCCAGAACAAAGCAGACGAACCCAGATGCCCTGCCAGCAATCCAACCATCCATCCAACTCTGACCTACATCAGGGGCCTCGTCAGGGGCCAAGGCCACAAGCATCAGCCTATCAGATGCTGAGGAGGACGAATGATGAGCAGAGAACAGAAATAAGGTCTTATTTTCCTCCAAAATCAGATTGAACTCATCAGAAAGATCAACAAACCTGAGTGCGAAATCAATTTCTATCTGCTTTCTCTCTTTTTCAGATAGAGTGCAATGTCGATTGTTTGTCTCTTATTTTTACTTCAGCTTGCCTTCACGCCAATTTTCATCCTTCCTTTCCACTGCAGTGTTTTTTTTCCGCCTCCATCCGATTTAGCAAATATAAAATTCCCCAGAGTCGTGGCTGAGAAGCATAAAATGAACACAAGATGGAAACGGAGACGGAATCTCTCGAGGGCTTGAGGCGAGAAGCGCACCGTAAACACTGTTAGATCACCACCACTGGCAGGAATAAAAAAACAATCTTTCTGAGCCCCTTGTGTTCAGGTGAAGCTCTTTAGGGAGAGCAAAACCCAAAGAGACAACTTCCTTACTCTGGACTTAAAGCCTTGTCATGTATAGTCAAGCTGTTATAAGCAGCTCTGCAGCAATAAACAAATCTGGTCTATACTTAAGTATAGATCAGGGATTTCCGGATTTCCTCGGCGTCCAGTTTTTACGCTTCGGGACGAAAAATATGGGGTTTTTTGGATCGGGGTCATATTAGAGATCAGGGTTCGTGGTTAATTTTAGTAGTGGGGTCAGGGATAGGCTGTCTAGGGCAAATATTAAGTAATTTTAGGGTTTGGGACACGTAGTTGACATGAATTTCCTACACTTCTAAAAATGATTAATTTTAGGGCTCAGGGTTGATGGTTAGTTTTAGGTACTAAGGTCAGGGACAGGATGTCTAGAGCAAATAAAGGTCATTTTAGGCTTTGACACGGTTAGTTTTTGTGCATTTTCTACACTTTCTGAAATTATGACAACAGATTCTGCCCCATCTCGTCAATAACTGTCGCGAGAGGGGGAACCCGACGTGTCAAAATCGGACACAGAGGAAACCTTGGAAAAGCGTCAATATGTGACGACTTCAGAATGGATTGGAAGACAAGGCTGACAAAGACCTTAACTTAGGAGGGATGGGCGTCAGACTATTCAACTTCAGTTCAGCTTACATCAACGGAGCATCTCTTGCAGGATCCACGACTTCCAACAGTTCTGAATCGGCAAAGCTCTCCAACCATCTTCAGTTACAGAGATAAATTTGTCCCACCTGAGCCAGGTTACCGACCCATACCCACATCTCCATCCTACCTTGTCAACCTCCTGCTGCAGCACTTGCTTGGCCACCTCCAGATCCTGCAGTCTGACTCTTATTTCTTCATTCTCCTGCTCAAGAAGACCCCTCTTCTTCTCCACGCTGTCCAGCTGGCTGTGGAGACGGATGGACACGTCTTTTGCCACCTGGGAGGGGGAAGACAGACGGTGGAGGAAGACAACATCAACGGACTTTCAGAGAGCACAATGGCGAAGCAAACCTTAACTTCCTTTTATATTACTGTATTAGTTCTTCTAACATATATTCATGTCCCTGATCATTTTTTTACTAAATAATCATACAGTCAATAACTAGTGGTGTCCAAATACTAGCCTCAAATATTTGTACTTGTACTCATAAAAACACCCCTATACTTCGGACTGATTTCACTTTTGTGCTTAGTGACAATGTTAATTTACTCTTTACTTTAAGGAAGGGTGAAAAATTGAAAATGTCTGTAGTTTGGAGATATTTAGGATAAACATGGCAAGACAACAGACTGTCATTGTATTAATTATTAGGAGATGTGTTTCTAATGTAGTTCCTTTGACAATACAAGAAGTCAAAGAAAACATCTTTATACTTAAGAAAATTGGCGTAATACACATGATTTTACCCATTATGTCACATAAATGGCCTATTTCCTTTTGAATTTGGCTCAGTCAAAGTGAAACAGGAAGTGACATCAAAGAGGAACTCATTAATAAAACAATCTCTCTGGTCTCTGTTTATTAAAACAATATTATTTAAACTTTAACTCTTCTTCATCTCTTTTTGATAGTGACTCCAAATAATCTAAAGAAACATCAGATTTTAGTCTAGTCTGTGTTGTTAGCTGTTGTAACAATGCCCTCACATGCAGATGTTCCCCTTTTGACATCACTTCCTGTTTCTTCACACACAAATATCTCAACAACTGTTCATCTCAGCGATGTGAAATTTGTTTTGCAATATGGTATCAATGTTATCTCTCCAAAAATGCATCCAGGTTTATTGCAAAAATTTTATGTCACAGTCACGTTAAGTACTAACTCATTAACTACTCAGTTTCCATTGACCCAAGTGAACATTTCAGCTGTACACCAAGTATAGCAAATATATATTATTTGATAAATGACTCAATAAGTTGTTTTAATTAAAATAACACTGAAAAGTCTATATTTTACCACTTAGGTTGGTTTCAAAAACAACACAAAGAATTTACAGCATATTATTACGTAGCTGTAAAAAGTAATTTGCTTTATTAAATATCAATTTCACCAGTACATTTTAGCTTCGGCTCAAATGAAACTATATATGAGGGCTTTGTTTTCAAAGGTTGTGTTAAAATCGATTAAATAAAACTTTGATGGATCCCAATGGAAACTGAGAGAAAGATGACTGTCTGTGTGATTCAGTGGCTCATAAATGGACTCAAACTCTATTAACCTCCATCGTATGAAAACATTTGTATTGATTGAAACTTCAACACTCTTCCTCTCATGTAAGGCCTTAAAGCGTTTGCTTAAATGACTTGGTGTAAATTTAAATGGTCCACTTTCCCACTCAGTAAAGGCCTCATGGACTTCTTTAATCGTTTTACTTGACGTGACTTAAAATTGTGTAGATAACAAATCCTTGTTGCAGAGTCAAACTGCGCGGTGTTCTTAAATCTAAAAATAATGTTTGATATCAAGATTTTTTTAACCAATCCTTTGGTCTGAATGGGTTAGTTGAATACAAGTTCACATCTGTCCTCCTCTTCAGCACTCCTTTGTAAGTCTTTGACTCCTGCTAAATGCTGAATTGTTCCTCTATGTTAAAGGCAAACGTGAAGGAATTTCACACAGTTGAAGCTGGGCTTTTTATACGGCAAACTGAGCTTTAGGTTGTAATTAGAATTCCCTTAGAGTGCAAAGTGTGGGTCTATACAAAACTGTTAAAGAGAGGAGATGTGTCGGAGGAGTGTAGAATCAATAGGATGAAAATCAAACCAACATAAACCAAGGAAGGGACTCTTTTTTTGACTGTTTCTTTTAAATGACTAGATCAGGGCTATTCAAATAAACTGCTCCGGGGGCCACAGTTACTGCAGGCAAACAGCTGAGGGGCCAAACATCCAGCAATTAAAGTCATTATGTAATTAAACCAAGTATTACAAAGATCTGTTACCTTTGAAATAGTTTATTTTGCTGCATTTAATCATGAATAAAACATACAGAACCCTACAATAAAAGAAGTAAAAAAAGTTCTCTTGACCTTCAGAATCTTTAAATAGAACTCATCTGGATCAAATTGTTGCAACTACAGGGTTTAGAAGCAATATGCCACAGAGAACATCCACAGAGCTTGGCTGAGTCAGAGATCTTGTGGTAACAAATGAAGGACTGAATAATAAGAAGGTGATCATCCTTTAGGTTTATGAATTCATTAAAAAAAGATTGAATTAGCTGTGAAGTGATGTGGGTGGCAACCGTTTTTTGACAGGGGACAATTGTCTGTCTGTCCAGAAGCATAGCTGAAAGAACATCAACCACCTACTTAAAGATGTGTCTATGTGTGAGAGGAGTGTCAGCGGCCTTTTACTTAAATCTAATTTACAACAAGACAACAGCTGAGTGCACGTAAAAATACACTCAGCATCCAGATTTCTTTGGTGTTTTGAATGTAATTTATGTCTGAAAGCCTTCTGAGTCAGAACTCTGTGCTTTCGCTTCTATAAAAGTCTCCGAAAACATCAACGCTTCTGTTGCTGAACACAGATTTGAAAGAGGTTTATTTATGGGTGCGTGTTCACTTTGCTTTTTTATTTTTTTATTTTTTTGTGGTTTTTTTTTTTTTCATTTTTTAATCAAGTAACAAAAGTATTGATATGAAGGCCTAAACCTAACAGAAACAGTTTCCCAGTCCGTAGTTCCACTGACCTCAGCGCCGTGCTCGCGTTTGTTGTTTACCAAGTCCCAAATGACTCGGCCTTCATGCTGGGAGAACGATGACTCAGCTAAAAATGAAAAACACCTGAGATCTTAAAGACAACCTCAAATGTGTTTTTTTTTTCTTTTAATGAGTGATAAAATACGCTGACAAAGTATGATTCTTTGTAAACAAATTTACTGCCTACTATAGCTGAGCCCCTCAACTTGCTGACTCATCTTGTAGCAGAATAGACTGATGGGGACTTTTAAATAAATTCCTACAAAGTATTACAAAGTAGGCATAAAACAAATGCAGCTGTTATTTCCACAAAATAATGGTTTTGCTAGAAGGTCCCCGAAATACTGAGCAAGTTAGTGTCTGGTGGTTGATGCTGGTGACCTTTTTCCACATTAGTCAAACATTCTGGCCTCTACAGTAAGTACCCACTTACAGAGGATGTTACATCATCAGTGGGGTGATTTGTGTCTAAATTTAAAACCATGTGTGAGAGAGAAAGAGAGTGAGAGCCATACAGATGCTCCAGTTTAGCCTGTCATCGTCTAACTTTGAAGAGAGAGAGAGAGATGGAGACGGTGAAGAAATATGATGAACTTTCACCATCCCTGCCACGTCGTTGGGAAAAGTGCTATCTCACCTCCAGTATCAACAGCTACCGTTACATCTATTTATGAGTTTTTATACTTATCATTTCATGAGTCTATGTGTGACTCTTGACTGCAACATTTTTGTAATCGTGACTATGTTGCAACTGAACTTTATGGGTTAAACATTATTATTACCCAGGGAACAAGCACACTGAAATTAAGTGAAATGAATGCAGACAAAAGTAAAGTTCATCTATCCATCATGGGTCGAGGAGGCAAAACAATCCATGAAGGAAACTTTGACATTCCTTTCTCTTGGGACCCTCTTAAGCTCATCCTGATCCTGAGGTGTTCCAGGAGGAATATATCATCCCTCTATTGAGTTCTGGGTCAGCCCCAGGCTCTCCTCCAATCACGTCCAGAGGGAGGACCACCATAAGCACCCTGATCAGATGCCCAAACCAGCTCTTTGACTCCAGCTCCTTCCAAATGACAAAGCCCCTTTTTCTCTTAATCTGAGCCCTTCCACACAACACAGGAAGCTCCTTTCAGTTGCTTTTATTTGGGATCTTGTGCTTTCGGTTATGATTCGTACAACGTGACAATACGGGAGGGTTAGAATGTAGATGGACCAGTCAGTCAAGCTTCTTCATCACAACACACCAGAGCAGAAAACCAGCATTACTGCACAAGAAGCCCCAATCTGTCCCTCCTGTTCCATCCTCCCACCTCTCTTGAGCAAGGCATCGTGATGTTTGAATGGATCATCCCCAAATCAGATGGATCATCCCACCTTTTTCACACTGAGCCAAGCCCTCAAACATGGAGGATATCAACTTCAACCCCTGCTTCATTCTCTACAAAAATCTAGACGATGTCTCAAAAAAGGCCAAACTCAGACTTGAAACAATGTCCGACATCAACATTGGCTAAATTCTTTTTTTGAATGTATCTAATAGCACAGCATGTTTGTCACTGTGCTTTCATTCTAATACAGTTTCTGTCCTTGTTTTTACACCCAACTCTAGACGAAAAATCTACGTTAGATGGCAGATAAAATAACCCCCTGAAGGCAGATGACCGACTCTGGAAATATGAAGTAATGTCATGTTGACTCCATGGGATCCCAACAACTATTTCCTTTTTTTCATTTGTAAAATGAGTATGTATGTGTGTGTGTGTGCGTGCGTGCGTGTGTGTGTGTGTGTGTGTGTGTGTGTGTGTCCAGATGTCTGCAGCCTGTGGGAATGAGAAAACTGTGTGAGTAGGACAGGAAATGGTTAGAAATTCTCATGGAGACTCTGATGGTCCTGCACCACTCTACAAAAGCGCACACACAGAGACACTGTGTGCAACAAAGTCATGCGCAAGATGCACACGGGATGTCTTAACTGACACAAGTTGAAGCACGTGATGAACACAGTGACAAGATGTTGTCACAAAACATCCATGTGACTCAGATTAAATTTTTACTGAGGGTGTTTTTAGCTCTCAGTCTGTGTTTACGAGAAAAGAACATGAGAAAGAACGAAAAAAACAAAGTAGAAGCAAAGAAATCAGGCGAGGGAAGTGCTTTGCATGTGTTTATTTGCGGCTTTGTTCGCATTTGCACATGAGTGAGTCATCAGATCTCTAAAGCAGAAACTTTAGTTAAGGCAATTAGAAAGCAGCTCAGAGCAGAGCAGCTGAGGGAGAAGGTGAGGTCAAGCTGGACCATGAGTTGACAAAACACCGCCTGTATCCAAAACATGCTTTATTTTGAATAAAAAAAAGGTTGATGAATACAGTTATGTATGAGTTGTGGTTGTAACTTTTAAGTTGCAGCTTGAGAGTCAATTCTATTCTTACTTTTTATTTCCAAAACCTGTTTAAAGAGATTTGCTGCTGACTTCTTTTTTTTTAAATCCATCCACATTTATACACAAAGACCATAAAAAGAAACAATTATTAAAAGCGTTCTGAATGGTTTTCTTTCATGTTGCCCAAAGCATTTTTGCGTTTTTCACAGGAACTAAACTTGAAAAAGTGTCAGACATTTTATGGAGCTCTGTCGGTGCAGAAAAAAAGATGCTTACTCGTATTAATATATGTGCGCAATATTTTGCAGGTGATAATTGTCATATTTAAAAATGGTTTGGTTTTTTTTTTTTACTAATGTTACTAAGTTACTGCAGCTTCCATTTTGAACTAAAATGCTACCACCACAACAAATGATACATTGAGGCCAGGTGAATAATCAGATTGTTTTCCATACAGAAGAGTTGTAGAGTCTTTGTTTTTTCTTAGTCATAAATTTTAGACTTTCATTTATGCTAAACTGACAAAAATGATCAACTTTTTATTGCAATAGAATTTTTTGGAAATGACAAAAAAGTGACTTCCTTTAATAGTTGAGTCAGAGTAGAGGGATAAAGGCAGGAATGAGTGTCTTTTTTATCAGTCTAATGACAAAGCCTCTAAAATAAACAGAGGACTGACTATAACAGAAGAGTAGCTTAGTAAGAGCTTAATGCACTCACACACACTACAAACACACACACTGAACAGCAGGGTGTAACTTGACCTGCTGTTTGAGGCCACGGCTCTGCCGCCAGGAAGACGTAATCAGGCGTGTTGTGAGAAAAACACGGAGAGGTCAAACTGTCTCCCATCCGAGAATTTATTCCAATTTCCTGCATTTAATTGCCTAATGCTGATGAAAACTATTTATTTATTCTTGCTTGTTGGATCTCTCTATCACCCATGACAGCACACTTTTTGTCTTTACACAAACATGAGTAACTAAATTAGGTAGTTTTTCTATTGTTCTCAGTTCAAATACCTGAACTAGAAACTTAGCATTCCTTGTAAAAATGGATATCACATATATTATCGCAATTTCACCTTCAGAAGAAAGAAAAATATATCCAGATATAGCTTTTTCTTTTTTGTTTCCCCATCTTTCATTTTTCTGCTACAGTCCTGTTCCTTCCTGCCCACCTCTTGTTTCATCCTCCTTCTCTGATTGGTTGATTTGAATTTTCAAACTCACCCCCCAACCACCCCCTTCAGTCTCAGCACATTTGAACTCGATGACACACAGGATGTACGATCATCTTTTTCCTCGCCGCCGCCCCCTCCCTCCATCCTCACTTCCCTCCTTCCTTCATCCACAAACAACCAGATGGTGAGATGGCAGCTGAAAGACAGACAGCGGCAGCAGGCGGGAAGCCCTCAGAGCGATACGACAGCCAAACGCTCTCGCACGCTGCCTCTCTCCCTCTCTCCCAGTTTATAAAGGCCTCATTGTGTCCTCCTCAACGTGGAAAATGTAGGAGGAACACTGCAAGCCCAACAACGAGCAAGCACGGCCCAGGGTCAGCGTGACAGAACACACTCAGAAGCCTGTGCTCGTTCGGTGTTTATGTACAGGAGCTCTTTATCACAGATTCCTGAAGTGTTTGGAGTGACTGTTGTGCGCTCGGCCTCGAAGGACGCTTGCATCAACTGTCTCTGTGTAAATTCAAGCTCATGTGAAGGTTTTTTTGTTTTGTAAAACAGTGAATGCTGGCTAAAATGAGAGGTCCATTAACAATCTTAATGAGGTCTTTACAATTATTTAAGCCACTTTGACAGGAACTCATGTTTTAATCGATCCCATCAATCCCTTGATTTGTCTTCTTTCTCGGTAACTAAAAAAATAAGCAAGGTATTGTAGAAAACAAAAGTTTAAGTCTCACTGTTTGGTTCAATTTCAAGGATATGTTTTAACCATCATAGTGCTGGGCGGTATACCGTTTTGTACCGAATACCGGTTTTTATTTTTGTAATGGTATGAATTTTTTGAATACCGGACATTCTGGTTTAAATAGCGGAACGTTTCGTCGCAGCCGCCAGAGAACTGTTGCTTCCCGGGGGACATTTTTCCTTGCTGCACCGCTATGTGCATTAGCATGCCAATGTTTGGAGCAGCTAGTTGCAGCAGCAGGTGGCGATTCTGCTGCTTATATTGACTGACGTTTAAAAAAACATCCCGTTTTCACCGTCGCTGAATGTAGTAAACACCTCTTCTGTGACGTGCACAGTTAGATTTAACACGGTTAGTTAATATGGAGACGTTATGCTGATGGAGACTTAACGTGGTTCTATTGTGAAAAGCCTGCAGGAAGTAGTTCGTAGTGGAATTGGAATTGGCTGGTGTACAAGGTAAGTCGTGCTGATGAGCTTTAATAAATAACATAAAACAATAAACCCGATCATAGTCTTTTCTTAACCCTCCTCCTTCACGACTGGACCAAAATGCCTGACTACTGTCTCCAACCACCAGTCAGAGAAGAACAGACACAGAGGAGGGAAACAGCGACACAGACAGAGGTACAGTAAAAGRAAAAAAGTCAATAAGCAGGGTTTGTACATTTTATTATCAGCTGAGCTGTGATGAAAAGAAAAATACCGTCAAATACCGTGAAACCGATGAAAATGTTGAAAATACTGTGATATAAAATTTAGATCATATCGCCCAACTCTAAACCATCACATCAATCAAATTAAAGGTCTTGATTTAAAGGACGCTAATTGGTCACAAAAACTATCAATAAATGCATCAACATAGTCAAATATCCAAGAGTTTATAAATCTTCTTTGGCTACATTTAAAGTACAACTTAATTAACAAAAGTTAATTTACTTGGCCATTTTTACTACTTAGTATACATGTACTCAGTTGGTACAGTATGTCTAGGCTAGCTGGCTTAGAACCAGGGTGTTCAGAACCAGGATGGCCGAGTGGTTAAGGCGTTGGACTTAAGATCCAATGGACAGATGTCCTCGTGGGTTCAAACCCCACTCCTGGTAAGACCTGTGCTCATTAAGCAGAAATAAGTTCTACCATGAGTCGCAAAGAAGGTTTGACAAAGTTTTGGATTAGGTTGTGGAAGTAGATTGATGTTATGTCTTTGGGCAAAGCACTTCACTTGTCCCATCAGTGTATGAATGGGATTATCACTGATTACTCTCCATAGATTGATTTGTGCATGTTAGCTTTGTGCTGAGAATGGGTAAATGAGGGCACAGATTGTAGAGTAAAGCGCTTTGAGTATCCTGCTTGGATAGAAAGGTGCTATATAAGTACAGTCCATTTAGCTAGCATGCTATTAAAGAAAAAAAGTCATATCTATAGGTTCTGTACAAAATTTATAAGTTACTCTTAAAAAATGTAAACAATGAGTTATTTTAAAGAAATGTGTTTTACATAGAACTGTTTTTAAGAGAGCAAATGCTATTAGCATAAGCTAAATTAAATTAGCTAGCCAACCAAAAAAAAGCTTGTTTAAACTTTAGCTTTTTGTTAGTTTTATTTATTTGAGTAACTTTAAGTAGGTATTACTGAGCTTTCTAGGGTTGTGCAAAATCGTATATCGTGAGCAATTAATCGTCAGAAAAACTTTAATTGATTATTTTTTGGCGCTTGACGATTAATACGATTAATGCCACCAAGCGCATTGACTGAGGATTTCACCGGTCTGTCCGCTCAACGCTTCTCTCTGCTTTAAATAGGACCAACATTTTTAAAAAAATAATCTGCAATTTATTTATTATAACATCAGTTTTACTTGACCTATCAACACAGTTTAAAAATTGATGTATAGCTTTTGTATAGACTTTTGACACAATTTGGAACCGATTTTTATGGAGAGCAAATTGTTCCCACTAGAGTGATTTAAACTGGTCACGAGACTAGGGCATGCATGCGTCCAGGGACTCCAGAGGATTAATCGTCTTATTAATCGTTATCAATTAACCGTGATTAATTTTTTTTGCCATCATCGCCCAACCCTACTTTCTATAACTCATTTAAGTACATTTTTAACTAGTTAGTTCAATTCTCAGGACATTTTTAATGAATTAGCTATTGGCTATATTCTTCTAGCCACATCATAAAATCCCATTCCATAAAGGCTATATCCGTAAGTACGCTACAGTTCTGTTCGAAGCACCTACTTTCACGTCTTGCTCCAGCGTCCTTATCAGTTCTCCATCCACCTGCCCCGTTTGGGCCACTCGGAGTGAGCGCCGCTCTGCCTTCCTCAGCCGGTATTGCAGGATCCGGCAGGTCTTGTTGGCCTAAAAGAACAACAGCAGGTGATGCTGCGTGTCATCTGTCTTACTGTTATTCACTTTAGAGTGCCAAAACATACAAGTATTATACGAGAAGACATCAAGCACAGCTATTAGTTTGGATTCTGTTTTGTATTTTCATTCCAGCACCAACTGTTTTCATCACATCTGCTTTCAGAAAGGATCAAGACTTTCAAAAGCAAAACGGTGAAACTTCATTTCACAGCCTCTGTCTGCTATGCACAGATGGATGCACAGCCAGTAAAATATATTTAAAATAACTGATTAAATCACACAAGGCATGCTTGTCTGCCCTCAAAAGTACCTGTTCCAGCTGTTGCCGCAGTTCCTGCAGCTGGTAAACATCTTCCTCCAAGTACATGTCTCTCATCTCCAGCATTTCCGACCTCAACTCCTCCATTTCATCCTAGAAACAGTAAAGAAAACAAAGGGTTTTATCCATCGTTCATCTAATTTGAAGAAAAAAAATCATGTGCTGCAGATTCTGATGAATGAACATCTGGTTGTAAATGACTACATGAAGTCGTGACCACATTATATTCCCATTCTACATTTACTAAAAGCTATTAAAACTTCTCCTCATACTGTAGGTGCAACATATTGTCCCATTAACCTTGCTGTGACCATAATTTGCTTCATCTGTCACTGCTCCGCTCATCTTTTACATCATTCTGTTAACTACACAGCCATTACAATCTTCTTAAAACTGACACATCAGTTCAAAAGAACCATCAAAGTAGAATTTAATATAGCACTTTGGTGTTTTATTATCATGATTTCTCTCTCAGCAAATAAAAATCAGCGAGTTACTACAGAAATCAAAAGTTCAAGTCTCGCTGGTTTCATTTCAAGGATAGCAGGAAGCATTAATAATTGACTGCAAGACTAGAAAATCCAGTCAGCGTGACTTATAGTATCTAGCTCTCTTTCAGACAAATACAGATCAATTATTTATTTCAGCTCCAAGGCATTAATTGCATCATCCCTCTGAATCCGATTTAAGGTGCAGCTCGTGCAGCTGCGTGGGTGTTTCCGATATAAATCAGCAACCACAGAAATGGGTAGGGCTCACTGGTGTTTACAGGACAGCAAGAAGAGCGTCACACAGCGACCTGAATCCGGGCCAACAAGCCTAAATGGCTGCCGACGTGCACGTGAGCATCAGATAAACAGGAAAAGGAGGGCGTCTTGTAGTAAGTAGTGCTTTCATAATTCACTACATTGGATAATGTGGGTCAGCTTCTGCAGCGCTCTTACTGTAGCAACAACGAGCTCTGGGGATGTGTGTGTGTGTGTGTGTGTGGAATATGAAAATGAGTCAAAGCACAACAGTAGGAAGGGTCTGCCGCGAATAGGAAAAAAAATTGTTATGATTAAAGTCATTTGTCTGGGATTATTGTGCCTCAGCGTGCTTGCAAGTAATTTTGTGTACGAGATGCATTGATGGCACTGAGAAAGACTGCAGCAGGAACCAATCCGCTCTTCACTAACCTCTGCTACACACCTGTACCAAGGAGGGAAAATACTGAAAAGGAAAGAAAGTGAAAGTATGAAATGAAAGAGAAGAAAGAGGGGAAATGAAGCCAGAGTAAAGCTAAAAGGAATGGGGTGGGGGGGGGGGGGGGGGGGGAAGACAACCAATGGATTCAGAAAAACTCAACTGACTGACCTAATGTACCCAAAGATGATAAATGATGACAGCGAGGAGTGAAAAAGTCAGCGCACGAAACCGGGGAATCATAAGATAATGTGGCGGGAGGCTGACAGAGGCAGAGTTTTGTTCCACTGACCTGCTTTTCACAACTGACAAAGAAAAGAGAAGATGGACTCTGTCATGTGAGCAAACAGCCACTCAGGAGAAGAAATCAACCAATCAGCTGTCACCTTCATTGTCCGACGGTTAAATGTAAGAAACTAGGGTGGAAACACGTCAGCAGTGATAGAAGTCCTCTGTAGGATAGCTTTACTGCAGGTTTCAAGAGCGAATTCGAGTCCCCGCAGAACCCAACATGCATGTTTTTGGTTTGTGGGAGGAAACCAGATTAGCTGGAGAAAACCCACGTGTGTACAAGAAGAACAGGCAAACGGCCCCAGACTGGAAGGCGATCCTGTGACATTTTCACTGCTCTAACTGAGCTGCATACATGTCAGGGTCAGGCACCTGGTAACTCTAAGTTGTCCCCAGGTGTGAGTGAGTGTGAATGATTGCTTGTCCTTATGTGGCCCTGTGATGCGCTGAGCGATCGGCACAAAACCAGTATCGGAGGGTTTTCACCTTGATCGTCTCAAACCAAAAACTAGCTGAGCAAATGTTTAAAATTAGATTTTTTCTAGTTTTTAAAAGGTCAGTACTGAGAAATCTGACATTTTCTTTGGTCCTTGAACACAGGATGAAGAAATATGCAAATTAGATTATAATAATGTCATCCAGCAATTTATAGAACAGCAAATAGCTACTTTCCTTAAAGGCACAGTGTGTAGGATTTTGTCAAGTCTTTTAGCCGAAACTGAGATAATCACTAATGATAATAATAAAAAACGTCTAATCATTGCAGACAAAGACCTTGTTTTATTATTTTTACCTTATAAAAAGCTGTTTATATCTCCATGGTCGCGGGTCGGCAGTACAGGCAGCCGCCATCTTGCACCGCCATCTTGTCTACGAAGGCTCATGAAG